TATTTATATTAAATATATTTATGTTTCTTTAAAAAGTCTCCCAGACATATTTTGGTTAGGATGTGTGGGTATGAGAATGTGTTGATAGCTCGATTGAGTGCACATAAACGAACACCTGCAGTCTCAAACGAGCCCGAAACCTCTATCCTGATCAGAGTCATTTCATTCCCGCTCACTGAGGGTATTTAATGTCACTTCAGGGAGATTGAGCTCTCCATCACGCCACTCCAGTGCCGCTAATATCTTTTTATTTTGATGAGCGGAGTGAAGAATAACAGCTGTGAGCATCTAGATGCCAGAAAAGGCATGATAAAAGCTTATGGAATTATGTAACTGTGATGTCATCACGGGCCGGGATTATGACAAAAACCTTCTCACATGCCAGACTGTAGAGACCAACCAATCAGAATCAGACTCAGTGTGTGACTTATGGCTTTAAATCCATCAGAAAAGCTTAAGTGTGGATGCACAGATGTTTATGGTGCAGTTACTGCGAAGATGTGCGAATATATGTTAAAACGAAAATATCGTAACTTTTGTTTTCATGTTTAAGTGCTATAATCAGTCTGCTGTGCATCTACTAACCCAGAAAATGTCAAAACATGTAGTGACTTTGTTTTTGTAAGGCTTTTTTGAAAGCATGCGGAATTTTTATATTCACATGTTACTGTAGTGACGTAAAAAGGGGTCTTATTATATATTACTATAATAAACAACTTATTATATATTACACTTAAAACCCCATCCACACGGCAATGGATTTAAGTCAGTCTTCAAAATACAAATAGAATTTTGGCCTTTTTTAATCTAAACAACACTGTCGGTGCCCTGAAATGAACTTTTTTAGATATACAGAGGGCTATACATTATACATATATTAGGCTATACAGAGCTATACAGAGCAGAAAAATCTTAAGATGTGGACCTCACACAGCCATGTGGATAGGCTAAATCCTACTTGTTGGAAATGATGATGGTACTAATTTAAATGTATATATCTGTGCACTACCGTAGTGTTTTTTTTTTTTCTCGAGCTAAGTGTCTGTTTTCTGTTGTTGTCAATGGTAGTGCCATGTTTTTTGAGTGCCTGCAGCATAATAATGCGCTGAGAAATCATATCATAACCCCCGAATTGGAATCAGATCAAATCGTGACCTCCTGAAATCAAATTCAATCAAATCGTGACCCCCAGAATTGCAATTGAATTGTGACCCCAAAATCAGAATCGAATCAGTTGTGACCCCCAGAATTGGAATTGAATTGTATCGTGACACCAGAATCAAAATCGAATCATATTGTGACCATGAAAATTGAGATTTGAAGTAGATCAGATCATGACCCCCAAAGTCGGAAACGCATTCTTTGTGACCATTAGATTTGGAATTGGAAGTAGACCGGATCATGACCCCCAGAAACGGAATCGGATTGTATCGTGACCATTGGAATTGGAAGTAGACAAAATCATGACCCCCAGAATGGGAATCGGATCGTATCGTGCCCATCAGAATTGGAATTGGAAGTAGATTGGATCATGACCCCCAGAATCAGAATTGGGAGTAAGACAAAAAGCTTCTCACATGCCAGACTGTAGAGACCAACCATTCAGAATCAGACTCACTGTGTGACTTGTGGCTTTAAATCCATCAGAAGAGCTTACGTGTGGATGCATGTGTGGAGGTTTATGGTGCAGTTACTGCGAAGATGTGCGAACAATTGTTAAAGCGAACATATCAAAACTTTTTTTTTCATGTTTAAGTGCTATAATCGGTCTGCTGTGCATCTACCTACAAAACATGTAGTGCCTTTTTCTGAAAGCATGTGGAAAAACATGCTTCATATTCATACATATTTAGATTGAGTTACTGTAGTAATGTGAAATTGGTCTTATTATATACTACTGTCACTTAGACTAGAGGTGTAATCTGGCTGTAAAAGTTAGGCCCGACAGCGCCTGAGCCTGACAGAATTGCCCCGAGCCCAACAAGTACATTTTGATTGACAGCTTTTTAAAAGCCCGAACCCGTTTACAGCCTGACATTATTTAAATGTGCACATGCACACAGCTCTTTTGCTTTTTTTTTTAAAATTAGTCGTTAATATGTGTTTTAACATAATTTAATCATAACAAACATATAAGCCACTTAGAAGTTGGAACAAAGAAATAAAATAAGTCCTCTTTAACATAGTGACATCTCAGCACTCTAAATAGGCCTGTACATACACTTAGCCTTTAAATTGGCCAACAAACCAATAAAAAATAAATCTTTCTTAACAAATTAAATTAAAATAAATTCTAAATCATGACGGGAATTTGGCAATAATGAAATTAAGATAAAGGCTGTGCGAGATTTGCTTCGCCACTTCTCTTCACAACCCAGCCTTAAGGAGACGGTGAAGCTGAATAATAAAAGAATAAAACCAACATTAGCCTATACACACTGTCTACATAATGCATTTATGACTTTATTAATATTTAGTTATAGTTTTAAAAATCTTTAATCACCATGATTAGGCTTTGTAAATATGTTTTTGTGGATCAACATTTTTTAAATCCACTGTAGATGGATTAAGCGCAATCCTGCCCTTACTGATGGTGTGTCCATCAGCACTAAACACCCTTTCACTGCTGCTGTTGGCCAGTATTGCACTTCTGATCTGGATAATTTTGCAAGTTTTGGGTAGGATTTTTTGTTCATCTTCCTCCAGCCAAGAACATCCATTCCATTTTCCATGACAGCAGTTTCAGTGCGAGTGAGCTCGTCATTTTCCCTGTCAGCTTGCTGTAGTCTCCCACTCCGCAAAATTCGCTCTTTTAGACTTCTCTGTCATCATTTGTTTCAGGGGATGGGTTTTGATGTTGTAACAAACAATTTGATTTCTTTCTCGCACTAATCCAAAGACATCACATGACCTTTCACTTTCTGCGCAAGCCAGAGTGCACGGCCCAACACCGTCCAAAATGCCCGTTGGGTTTGGTAAAAGAACTTAGACCCCATCCAATCAGCAACGAATTAAAGGCAATTTACAAAAGTTTAATATAATTTTGGTCTTTAATATTTTAAACAACACTGTCGGTGCCCTGAAATGAACATTTTTTGGTAACAGGTTATACAGAGCAGAAAAATCTTAAGATTTGGACCTCACATAGCCATGTGGATAGACTAAATGCAACTTGTTGGAAATGATAATGGTACTATTAAAAAAAAAAAATATATATATATATATATATATATATATATATATATATATATATATATATATATATATATATATATATATATATATATATATATATATATATATATATATATATATATATATATATATATATATATATATATATATATATATATATATATATATATATATATATATATATATATATATATATATATATATATATATATATATATATATATATATATATATATATATATATATATATATATATATATATATATATATATATATATATATATATATATATATATATATATATATATATATATATATATATATATATATATATATATATATATATATATACACAATTTATAAAGTGCCAAAAATTTTGTTTATCACAAATACACAAATATATTTGGATGCAATCCATCCCCTAGCAAATAATAGATATCGTGACAGCCCTAGTCAAGTGCTTGCCTGTGTAAATTCATCACTATAGGTTGATTTTGGTAATTACCAATGCTGCTAAGTCGTTGCTAGGGTAAGAGGGAAAAATCAGAAAAGAAAAAAGCAAGTGTTTTTTTTTTTTCTTTGATTGTATAAAACCATTGCCATGTTGCTGGCGGTTGCTTAAGATGTTGACAAGACGTTGCTATATGATTGTCAAGCAGTTTTAAATGGTGGTGGTGAATGTTGGTAAAAGTGAGACAAAGTATTTTTGACTGTAAAACCATCACAATGTCATTAGTTTGATATTGGTTTTCCAATAGATGTTTCTAAGTGGTTACTAGGGTAGATATCAGCTAAATAAATAAATAAAGTTACTGTTTTGCTGTATAAAACCATAAACATATTGTTACATAGTTG